TCCCAAATGGGAGATATCCAATCACTGACTGAAAAAAAAAAAAGAATGAAAATTATCTGGGTAAAAGATTCCTCCATCCATACCCTGACATTGCAATTTCATTAAGTTAGAATTTTACCCAGTTCTAGAATAGGCAGTCATAGTGTCAGTTCTCAATCCAAGAGGCCTCAAAGGTACCTTCAGATAAGCAATACTTTTCCCACATTTTTCTCTAATTTATCCAATGGAGAATTTGTAGATCTAATCAGATGCAGAATTTCCCAGTTCTTGCTTAAAACAAAAAACAAAACAAAAAAGTATAATTGCTCCCCAAAAGCTGTATTTGCTCTTCTCTTGTCCATATGATCCTAGTTTAACATCTAAGTCAATAGTGCCCAGAAACAAGGAAGGTATCCCAAACAGATCCATACTAACAGAAAATTAGGGAGCAAAAATATTTACACAAGGCAGTAGCCCTAGCACTCCAATGTAAATCAGAATTCAATTATGATCAGGATCTCAGTTTTCTGCCTGCTTCTTTCTTCCTGATATCTCAGTTGACATGAGACACAATGAAAGTCTGAACAACTTGTTAAGAGTTCATGACCAACTTTTCGATGGAATGCCTTCAATCCTAAGGCAGAATTCATACACATCAATCTGCCAGGAACTTTGGCTCAAGCACCGGAAGGAGTTTCTCAATCCAAAACCAATGTCATATCCAAGCCTTTCCTGGGAGAGAAGCAGTCTGATGGATCTCATATACCCATCCTGATTAACAGCAAGGAGAAAAAAAAGTCTGGGCCCATGACTCCTAAAATGCACAAGACCAGATCAGGAATGAAGTCTTTGAGCTCATCTTATAATTGAGTTTGCCATCTTTCTCCTTTCAGGAAAAATGTAATTCGTATCTCAGTGACCCTTCTCCCATCAAACACTAAGGCATGTCTCCTCAGGATAAATGATCTTCAGTAGAACTAAATGGCAAAAAATTGGTAGACATGGGAATCCAGCTCCACTAGCAGGTGAGTGTTAGAGATGGTCCAACTGGGATACGATTTGGAATTTCATAAAAAAAACCAATAGGCAACCACCCATCCTCAGAACTTAAGAACAAAGTAAAACACCTCAGGGTACTTCAAGTTACTGAAGATCTTTTAGATATCATTGCCATATAGGATGTGCCATCAGAAAAGTATTTCTGAAGAGTCTTCCCCATCTTCTTCACCATTCCTAAGAAGAGTAAGAACTGGAAAGTGAACCTCACCATATGCTGTTCTTAGAGTCTATGGTAGAGTGGAGCACCAAGTACCCATGATGTCATGTCCTAAAGACCAATTTTACACCCAGACTTTGACTAGCTTCAGCTCTACATATGGAAATTGAATGGGAACAGCTCCTGAGTGGTGGACTATTTATTCTAGCTGTTTATTCTTCTTTAGGTACCCAGCTTTCACAAAAAAGAAAAAAAAATTACATGAATCAGGGCTTCTAGATACATTGCAAAAGACATGAGTAAAGGCAGATTTCAGGTTTTCTTCAATATGAGTTGGATAAGGGGCTGTCAACTAATATTACAAAGACAGGCAACCACACTGCTACTCCAGGACTGTCAGAGAATACCCCTTTTCAGCCATGTTAAGTACTTCATCTCTTAAGAGTACAATATTACAGAGGGTCCATTCTTTCTACATGGCACTTCCCTTTTAAAACTGATTCTCCATGCACTAACGTGTACCACTTGAACCTAACAGGGAGGACTTATGCATTTTCCACTAAGGCAGGTGGTCTTACAAATGGATTGCTGCTTCATCTGTAAGATAAATTCAACTTTTCATAGATCACAAGAGAACATGTGACCCTACTTCTGCCCATACCCATCCCATGCAGGGAGTATACCTGGTACAGCTGGATATATTCAGCACACTTAGAATTTACCTAAAGTACATTGGAATTTTGTCAAACAGAGACCCCGTTTATCTCCTGTAAAGTAGGGAATGAAGGAAAAAGGGTCTCCTTCTTCACTCTTAACCATTCAGTTAGGGAATATAACATTAATATACTCAACAAATAGCAAATAGATTTTCCAAAGGATCATGGTCTGTTCAATTTTGAGAGGAGCAGTACTAATAGCCTTGGAAACAGAGTTGCCTCTGACATACACCTATGGTGCAGCTGCTTGAACTAGCCCTTCTACTTTAATCTGACACTGCAAGATAGATGTCCCTGTCTTTGGTCATACAACTCTGCAGAAAGTGTTGTAAGATTACTGAACCCACCCTGTAGTGCATACTTTTTGTGTGAGTTCCATCATTCCGGTAGCCAAGAGACTAATACTTGAATTTCCCATGAGGTATCTTCCCGGTCACCAAACGATAGATCTGGGGAAGAAGTTAGTATCTTGTCTACCAGATATATTTCAGCTATTTAGTTATGTATCTATTTTTATGTACCTTTTTGTTGTTTCTACTATACTAGTTTCAGCCTGTTGGTTGCAAGTACAAATAGGAATGGCCAAAATGAGGCATTTCAGCAATGGAACATACTGTTTTTCTTCCAAAACATTCCATTTATTCACCCAAATGTCCTGAGCATTCTGGGGCTGGTTGGTAGAACTCCAGAAGTATATTGGTCAGAACAGAAAGTGTTTTTTGTCTAAAAGTATTCTGGCACATCCCTGGTAATAAAGAAAGTAAAGTCAGTTCCTGTGATTGAAGGAGATTGTCCAGAGGAAGGAAGTTCTTTTAGGACCATGCCTTCTCATTTGTAGAGATGTAAACTCATTACTACTGGGTTCATTGTTGGTGACTGGAAAGTTACCATATGGTAAGTCCAATCCAGTACCATTCTGGGGTAAAGAAAGAGTTAATGAAGCTTCTTTTAAAAACAGAGCTATTACACAATAATTAATTCAAACTACAAACTATAACATACCATGATTTTATTGCCTAACACTTTTTGAACATTTTCAATCAAGTGGTAGAGAAGTAAAAGAGAGTTCAAAGTATTTGGGTGAAGGAATAGTTTGATTTCTTGAAAACATTCCTGAGCATCTGCCAACATGTGAAAGAATTTTTTTAATAGTCTGAGTTTTTTTGTGTTTTTACTATCTGAAAAGACTTAATACTGAGAATTGTTACCTAGCTAGAGTGAAACCATCTTTCTGGTATCTGTTTTCACTCTAACCTAGCAATCTATGATGATTAAACTGAATTAGGAGTGGCTCTATTCTTTGTAGCTTATTTTATAGTACAAGTATCTCTATGTTTATAAAGACCCTACTGTGGAACTTAATTCTTATTGTTTATATGGTCACTAGTATTGTTGACTTGGTGTATGTGTTTCTTTATCAGTAAGAAATATAGAAGAAATCAGGTCTGTTAGTGAAATGTGTAAGGAATGGCCATGTATAAGTTGCATGAGTATAATAAATCAGTTATTACTCAAGGAGTAGACAACAGATTTGTATTGGGTGATTTCGTGCAGCCCACTTGTGCAAATCTTTCTATAGTATGTATGTTGTTCTTTTTGATTGGGAATCAATATCATTTAATTGCACATTTCCAACATTGTATTGACTTACAAAAGAAATTCTATTATGAGTCTGATGCACATATTAGGAGAATATTTGTCACTATATAACCAACCAGTGAGGGATGCGAAAAATCATGTTGTTGATATGGACTAATTATCTTTTTGCTGCTGAAATTGAGTATTCTTATTCTCATAGAATATTGTACAACTGCAGTTCTTCTAATTCCAACTTGGTGGTTCTACAACACAGATGTAAAACTGACTTTGCAACTGATCATAATTAATTTTAGTTAAATCTAAACCAGGACTCTCTTATAAATCCTGAAACCCTCTTATTTCAACAATCTCTAACTCAGTACAATAATAGACACAGAAACTTGGAAATTAGTAGTGTTTTATCTGCATGTTACCTTTCCAAAATTGCATGCTTTGGGATTTAAGATTAGCATAAGATGTATATCAAGGAATGGCATGATTAATTAGAGAAAGTCAGCATAGCAAGAAAGCTAAGAAACAAACTTGTGAAACCATAGTAACTTTGATGCATACCTTGTCCCTGGTGCGAATTCTTTCAGTTTCTTTAAGCTAACTATGATTTCTTGACCTTCTAATCTGCAGTAAAGTTATAGTAACTAAAATGTGATATTGTTAGTTGGAAGATCCAGAATCAAATCTCTGTTCCATCATGAAGCTCATTGAATTATATTGTGCCAGTCATGATTTCTCCACCAAGCCTATCTCATTGAATGAGTCTGAGGATAAATTGGAGTGGGAGGCTAGAGGCTACTCTTTTGGACCAATTGGCACATTTGGGATTATAAAAGCTTGTTGTGGGCACTGTGATTGCCATGGGGAGATGAGGAAAATGGCTTGCCTATTTAAAAATGGTTAGTGGAACATGGTAATTAGAGAGTGTCAAGATAGACATCTACAGACATATTAATGCCAACCAATGCCAGCTGGGTTCTCAGATCTATACTGACTGGAGCTCAGTAAGCAAAGAATAAATCAGTTATAATATAGAAACCCTAAGTGCACTAATTTATCATGGTTGTCATAAAAAAGACTAAGATAAGTAAAATTAGGCAGAGTGGGTGTGCTCCAGGTCCCTTCAGTAAACAATGTCATCTATTGGGACCCAGGAAGTATGCCTTTTCTCTCACAGCACCTGCCCTCTGGAACAGCATCTTCCTGATCTTTACAGCTCCTACCCTGCAGTCTTTGAAAACCTATTTTTGCTTCCTGGTTTGGGATTAGGTAATTGTTGAACCTTTGTCATTTTCTCCCTGATGTATTGGAGTTGTTGTTTTTCCTCCCTCCAGATGTGCATTTTTTTTTCTATTCATTTTATTGTTTCTTACTTTGAAAACGTGAACCACCAAGAGTCATCCAGAAGTCAAGCAGGGTCTAAATCCAAATAAATTAATAAATAACATTTGAAACATAACAATTTCCCCCCTTAAATTTGAGTTATAATTTAGTGGCTGGGTGATGGTAACTGTTTTTGAAATGCAAAAGTTTTTTTAGTGCCGCAAGCTTGGTGCCTGGCAACTATCTTAGCTAATTATTTAACCCTGCGTCTAAGAAATCTAGATACCAGTTGTAGCGGCTGTTCCTTCTACTGAGATGCCAGAGTTAGGTGGTCAAAAGAGAAGAAAATACATAATTGAAGCAAGTACCAGGACTTAGAGCTTTTTGAGATATTCAGATGCTTTCCAGTGCATGACAGCTAGTTGAAGAGTGTTCAGTAGCCTCCTCAGGATAGCTGGTCTATATGGCCAGTGAAGGAGAAATTACAAGAAAACCAGTGGGATCTAACAATTGTATATTAGGTCATTCTAGAGATTTTATAAGCATGAGCATGTTTCAGGTGCTGTGGCATTCTTACAGTTTGGATAGCAATTAGGTCTTTTCCTGAATGGGAGCAATAGGCCTATACCAGTCTCAAGAAGTTATTTAATGTTCCTTAGGGGTGCCTAAGTTATTTTCTTATAGCTCTGTTTCTTCACATGTCATTATTCATGCCATCCAATGCTTCCATTTCTGTGCTCTCTTTGAAGGTCACCCCCGCTACAATTCTGGCTAAGGTTCTATTAAGCCTGTTCATAAGTCAAAACCTGCCTCATCCTTGTCCTCAGGTATGTCGCCATATCCCGAGAGGAGAGGGAGCAGAACCTAATGGCCTTCCAGCACAGCGAGAGGATTTACTTTCGGACTTGTCGGGATATCCGGCCAGGGGAAAGGCTGAGGGTCTGGTACAGTGAAGATTACATGAAGCGCCTGCACAGTATGTCTCAGGAGACCATCAACCGAAACCTCACAAGAGGTGGGACCTTTTTATTTCTTCTTCACTGTTTCATTTAATATATACTGAAAAGTAAGAAGCATTGTCTTGAAGGAAGTATTTTTGGCTTTGATTTTTTGGTGGAGGGGGAGGTGTTGTGGTGCAGTTTGTAATGTTCTTTTCCATTTGCAAAATACCTGTACCATTCTGGCAAACATAATGGTTATCATTATGCTTATATGTGACAAGGAGCAGCAGCCACTAATATTCATCAAATATACCTGACTAGCTTTATATACCAAATACTGGAATGCTGAAGAGTATTGGAGAATGGATGATTCCTCTACTGACAAAAATCAAAACCTAAGCTTTCAAAACTAACTGGGAACTCCCCAAATACTTGTATGTACATCTAGACACTAGGACAAAGACATTCTGATCTCTCAGGATAGTATACATGCACCATTATGGGCTTTTGCTTCCTTCTTAGTGTAGGAGTCATCTCATAAAATCAATTTAGAAGGGAGCATCTCGTAGTCCATAGCCAATTAAAGTTAATGGTTGAAAGAAAGAATGAAGAGGATCAAAATGAAATTATTTTCCCTGCCTTTTTTTTCTGTACACTATCATGGGCAATTTATTTATATAAGTATTTGGTGTGGAGCTGTATGTTGTCCTAAAACCTGGAGCAAAAGTGGAAGAGGTAGATCCTGGATGAAAACATACTGTTTTTCATGTGGTATCACCAAATTTTCTTTCTACTAATTGGACTGGCCTATATGCTCCAAAACTAATTTTCTGCATGTGCTGAGAGATGCTAATAATTAGGTCATAATTAGGGGGTGCCCAATGTGCACAAATAGGGTTATGTAAATGCACATATGCACATTAAAAAATATATTAACTCAGTATTTATTAATTCTCAGTAAGACACAACCAAATTCTGAGCAATCATCTCTTGAATATTCTACCATCTAGATATTAGTATTCCAGAAATTCTTCCCATTAATTTGGTTGAGGAACAGAGCAGTGTATTCTTTAATTCCATACTTTTTTAGTTACAGGACTGTAGAAATGATTATATTTATTTATTTATTTATTTTAGTTTTATTTTTTGAGTAGCCACAGTCTGGGTTAATAGGTACTTCTCTTACATTTCTAGGCATTTTTATTTAAAAATCTGGTAACAAATTGGAGTAAAAATTGACAAGAGATTAAAAAAAAATTGACAAGTTAAAAATCAGCATGTCACAAAGTCCAGGTGCTGGATATCCACAGTGGTTGGTATCCAAACTATGTTTCCTTATTTCCTGACTTATGTCAGTAAAATCTGTTTCTGTACTGAATATTGTAAGATAGCCAATATAATATGGGGTTTTCAAAAAGAATTGAAAGATATCTAGGAAATTACAGGCCAGTTGGCCTAATTTTGATTATAGGGAAGTTGGTAGAAAATATTATTAAACGTTGAATTAAAAAACCATGGCTCACCAGCCTTTTGGAGTTTTTTTTTAGGGTGTATTGGGGCTGATTTTATATAAGAATAAAGAACACACACACACACACACATGTATGCATGTATGTATGCATGTATAATATTCAAAAGTTCTTTGACAAGATAAAAGTTAGCTCCTAAATAAGTTTACCTATCAGGACTGGCATGAAAGAACTGATTTTATATAAGAATAAAGAACACACACACACACACACATGTATGCATGTATGTATGCATGTATAATATTCAAAAGTTCTTTGACAAGATAAAAGTTAGCTCCTAAATAAGTTTACCTATCAGGACTGGCATGAAAGAATAGAAAGTGCACAGTCTTTGAAATGGAGAATTATGAACAGCAGGGCCTGTATAACTTACCTTCTTCCTAAATTAGTAAGAGCTGAATGGGCTACAAAATACCTAATGTCATTCTGTGAAATTCTATAAAATTATAATTCTGTGAAATTACAAATTAGGACAGTTGAGGATAATATACCAGAAAGAGATCTTGTGGTGAATTGATTGATTATGTACCATCAAATTGTTTTCAACTCCTAGTGACCACATAGATGAATTTTATCCATGGCAATCTATACCTAACCTGGTCTTTCAGGTCTTCCAATGGTGCACTCATTGCCACTATAACTGAGTCCATCCACCTTGCTGCTGGTCATCCTCTTCTTCTCTTTCCTTCTACCTTTCTTAGCATTAGATCCTTCTCCAGAGAGCTGGGGCTTCACATAATGTGTCCAAAATAGGATAATTTGAGCCTGGTCATTTGTGCCTCAAGTGAGAACGGGTTGATTTGTTCGAATAGCCAGTCTCAAAAAAACTATT